ATGGGTTTTTCTGCCTGCTCCCTCTACACTGAGCCCTAGAGCAATGGTTAGCTAAGAACTATTTCTTCTTCAGTTGCTACTATCCCATTATTCCCACTCCCACCCCGTGAACACAAACCCCTGGTTACAAGAGCCAGACTCCCAAGGGATGTATTCTCTGGGTAACAGCCATAAAGTCAGAGTGCCAGACAAGTATATAAGCTCCCTTCTCAGAGACACTGGTGACCAGAGGTGGTAGGTGAATGATATACCCACCCTCCAAGGTTTCTGGAGAGGATTACAGTGTGCCCTTAGATGTGTGTGTTATCTGAACCCTGCCCCTCTGGCTACAGCAAGGAAGACAAGCAAATCTTTCACAGATAAGCCCTCTTTCACACAAAGACTGACTGCTTTCCATTCAGCTGCCTTTGCACTGGATCCCGGAGTATAGCAACACAAGTATGCAAGAGCCCTTTAAAAATTATTTCGCTATCCTATTTTATATAGGATTAGTTTCCTATATATCCTATGTGAGTCTCACAGATGTAAAACTATTGGTTTTCAAAGTTAGGTGTTTTGAAGACTCCTATCTCAGGTGCCAGTGTTAAAACTGGGGAGCTAAATGTGGGGTTCTCCTGAGGGAGAAGCTCAGAGTTGTCAGACTTCTGATTGTGGGTCACCCTGTGTTCTTGGCTGCACCAGTATGGGACAGAGTTTCTGTCAGGCTGACCTGGGAGGTGGGAGAAAATGACTGTGTCTTCTTTCAAAAAACACAGCTTCTCATTGTTCTTGACAAATCATGGTATAAATTTTCTTGAATAAAAGTATCTTCATTTTCTGTATGCCTTTAGGACTATTTCCAGAGACTTTAAATGACTGCTACTTTAGATTTTTCAGTTTCACTGGGAAGTGGGTATAGAGAGCTCCTCGTGCTGTCATGCTGGAAGTACCTCTCCAGTCTATCTTTTATGCCCAAGATTTCTCTTGGGTAATACTTTTAAATATAACCCTTGTAATATTTAAGTTACATTGTTTTGATTGACTCTTTAGAGGCTCCAGTTATATAGATGTTAGAATAACTATGACTGTCTTTCATTTCAACTACTTCCTCTGACATTTTTTTTCTTGTTCCTCCTTTTCATTCTTTTTTTTAAAAAAAATTTTGTTGGAGTATAGTTTATTTATAATGTTGTTATTAGTTTCAGGTGTGCAGCGAAGTGATTCAGTTATACACATGTTCATTCTTTTTCAGATTCTTTTCTCCTGTAGGTTATCACAAACATGTAGGTTATTAAACAGAGTTCTTTGTGCTAAAGGAGGTCCTTGTTGGCTGTCTTATATAGTTTGTTTATGTTAACCCGAAGCTCCTGATTTATTCTGGCCTGCCTCCCACATTTCCCCTTTGGCAACCATAAGTTTGTTTTTGATATCTGTTTCTATTATGTAAATAAGTTCACCTTATCTTTAAAAAAAAATTAGGTTCCACATATAACTGATATGACATTTGTATTTCTCTGAAGTAATTCAGAGTATGATAATTTCTGGGCCCATCCATGTTGCTGTAAATGGCATTATTTCATTCTTTTTTACATCTGAGTAATAGTCCATTTTATATACCACTTCTTCTTCATTCATTCTTCTGTTGATGGACATTTAGGATGCTTCCATGTCTTAGCTATTATATATAGTGCTGCATTGAACAGTGGGGTGCATGTATCTTTTTGGATTATGGTTTTCTCTAGATACATGCCCAGGAGTGGAACTGCTGGATCATATGGTAGTTCTATTTTTAGTTCTTTTAAGGAACTCTATACTGTTCTCCATAGTGGTTGTACCAATTTACATTCCCATCAACAGTATAGAAGGGTTCCCTTTTCTCTAGTCTCTTTAGCATTTATTGTTTGTAGAGTTTTTGATGATGGCCATTCTGACAGGTGTCAAGTAATACCTCACTGCAGTTTTGATTTGCATTTCTCTAATAATTAGTGATGCTGAACATCTTTTCACATGCCTCTTCACCATCTACATGTCTTCTTTGGAGAAATGTCTGTTTAGATTTCTGCCCATTTTTTTTTGATTGGGTTGTTTTATTTTGACATGGAGCTACATAAACTGTTTATGTTTAAGGTTAATCCCTTGTTGGTGACTTCCTTTGCAAATATTTTCTCCCATTCTATGGGTTGTCTTTTTGTTTTGTTTATGGGTCCCTTTGCTATGCAAAAAAAGTTTAATGAGGTTTCATTTCTTTTTTTAAATTTTCATTAATAGGAGATGGACTGAAAAAGGTACTGCTGCAAGTTATGTCAAAGAGTGTTCTTTCTATATTTTCGTATAAGAATTTTATAGTGTCTGGCCTTACATTTAGGTCTTCAATCCATTTTGAGCTTATTTTTGTGTATGGTGTTAAGAGAATGTTCTAACTTCACTCTTTTACATGTAGCTGTTCTGTTTTCTCAGCACTGATTATCAAAGAGGCTGTCTTTTCTTCATTGTGTAGTCTTAGGTCCTTTGTCATTGATTAATTAACCATAGGTGTGTGGGATTATTTCTAGGCTTTCTATCCTGTTCCACTGATCTACATTTCTGTTTTTGTAGCTTTGCAGTATATTCTGAGGTAAGAGAGCCTGATTCCTCCATCTGTTCTTCTTCTTCAGATTGCTTTGGCTATTCGAGGTCCTGTGTATTTCCATACAAACCTACAACTTTTTTGCTCTAGTTCTGTGATAAATGCCGTTGGTAATTTCATAGGGACTGCACTGAATCTGTAGATTACCTTGGATACAACAGTCATTTTGACAATATTGATTCTTCCAGTTCAAGAACATGGTATATCTTTCCATCTGTTTGTGTCATCTTTGATTCCTTTCATCAACATCTTACACTTTTCAGAGTACAAATCCTTTGCCTCATTAAATAGGCTTATTTCTGGGTACTTTATTCTTTCTCATATGATGATAAATGGAATTGTTTTGTTAATTTTTCTTTCTGGTCTTTTGCTGTTATATGTAGAAATTCAAGAGATTTCTATGTGTTAACTTTGTAACCTGCAACCTTACCAAATTCACTGATGAGCTCTAGTGGCTTTCTGATAACATCTTTAGGATTTTTTTCTTTATGTAGTATCATATCATCTTCAAAGAGTGACAGTTTTACTACTTCTTTTCCAGTTCTGATTCCTTTTATTTATTTGACTGTCATGGCTAGGACTTCCAAAACTATGTTGAATAGAAGTGGCAAGAGTATGGGAATTCCATGGAGGTCCAGTGGTTAGGATGCAGCATTTTCAGTGCCAGGTTCAAATCCCTGGACAGGGAACCAAGATCCCACAAGCCACATGGCATGGCCAAAAGAAAGTGGTGAGAGTGGACATCCTTGTTTTCTTCCTGATCTTGAGGACATCCTTCCAGCTTTTCACCACTGAGTCATTTTACTCTATTCATAATTCACTATTTCTGATTTTGCTTTTTAATTTTTTTTTTTGCTTGAATTCAGTTGACATATTTCTCCTAATTTTCTTGTCCATTACTATTCACTGTATTTCTCAAAAGTATTTTTTTCAAAGTTGTCAAATGCTTATTTAATAATTCATTCAATTTACAGTGCTGTGTTATGGTGTACATTTTTGGACTTTTTGGTTTTTCAGTTCTCCCCTCTACTTAAGTTTTTTTTTTATGGATATAAAACCCACTTATGGTTATGGAGTTTGGGTGCATAATTTGCATGGAGTGAGCAAAGATTTTTATTTCATGCTTCTCTTTTTATTCCTGCCAGATCTTCAGTTTCCTTTTCCTTCACTGTCACACTTCTAAGGGAAGTTTACCCCATCTCTATATATCTGATTCTCCCTCAGAAGCAATGCTTCTCTGAGGCATCTTCTGGTCTCACTCTCTTTCTAATCACTTTCCTATATCTTGTGCTATGAGCTACTATGTCCTGACCCATGTTCAGGTGGTATTTTGGCATTTAGCATTAGACTGGAATCTTTCTGGGGAAGCTTTTGTCTGTGCTTCTTCTAATTAGAGATGTTTCGATATTTATTTACATAACAAATTGCCAGCCACAGGCATTTAGTTTCTGTGAAAATCTCCAGGTTCAATAATGAGTTAAACAGTCTGACTATACTGACACTATAATACTGTTATGTGACAAAGACAAAACTATAAGCATGAAGGCAAGTAAAGCACAAACAGGCAATATTTCTTATCAGTCTGTCCTGAGGACAATGCCTGCCCTTTGCTGTCAGAATCCTACACAGTTTCAGTACACTATTGATAGGGACATGGTTTAGAGAGCAAAGAACTCAAATAAAAAAATATTACATAGGAAACCAAAGAAGTACAAATGTAATGGATGAGGCTGTCAGGGAGTTTAGTGGGTGCTTCATCCACTCATATGTGAACAACAGGTTTGAATACATTTTCATCTGTTCCTTACCCCTTCTTCACATTAAGGAGTGAAGGGCAATTAAGCAATGCTGAAAAATCCATAGTTATCCACCACTCAAGGAACACATTGCATTTCTAACTATGGAAAGTAAACATTTCTAGGAATTTTAAAATGATAGATTAGGTAAGTTCAGAAAACAATGGCACCTAGTATAATGCTTGGAACCAAAGGGTATTCATTACTATTTATTAGATGAACGTGAGGGAATCAGGTCCTTTCAAGTTATCTTATCAGCACAGACCAGTTTCTGGTCTAAATTACCACAAGTATGGCATGAAATAAGAAGTTACTGAACTGTTAATTCATATCCTTCAAATTTTTGTCCTTCTGGGACCATATCTACTTCCTTAAGAATAGTTTATTCTCTTTAAACATGACATTTCCAAAAAAGAGATTAAAATAATCTATTAGTCCCTAAGGAAAAAGAAAAACTGGTGATTGTTTTTGGCTAGGGAGAGGAAAAAAAATGGAAATGGCTTTAGTACTCAAGTGGAATTTAGTAAGTTACTCTGTAGTTTTTGAGTACATCACATATAAAATAAATGAACAACTTAAAAGAATTTATGTAAACCTACCAAATCCAGGAACACTTTTGAGACTGGCCTTGAGACAAATTTTCTGTAATCTGAGGTAGCTATATCTCATCAGACAATTCCATAGGAACATCCAGTCCATTCTTGTCCGATGATTCATAATAATGACACTTCTTTCTCCAGGAACAAATGCATCACCTGTTATAATCACTTTTACACCAAGCATGGTCTCCAGCAATGCCTACAGAAAAAAATCACATAGATATTTAACAAATTAAAGTTATGATTTTCCATAGGGAAAAGCTTATCATGTCCTATAAATAAATCTGATTTCTAATAAGTCAAAAGCATATTTTCCCCCATTATTCTTGCTTCTATAATAAATTAATCTGGAACAAAGTACTGTTTGTATTTTCAGTTCTATTAATTTAAGCTTCCAGCAGTTCCCTAATTTAAAAATGCTAACTTTCAATGAAATCGTCAAGATAGATTATTAAGATAAAAAGTGAAAAAGGCATACAACAAGATCTCCACTGTGTAATTTTTTTAAGTCTACAGATATATAAGATTATTACATTTTTAAATAAAGAATAGTAAAGAAATTTAATACTGGATATATGATTGAGGGAACAGTCAAAATTTTCATTTTATACCTCTTTGTACTATGGTTTCTTTTAAACAAATACATGTATTTGTTTATTTTTTAAATATATAAGTAATGTATATTAACTAAAGTACTGCAGTCACAGTACTTAAAACAGTGCTTGACACATAGGAGATGCTCAAATATTTGCTGAATTTACTTAATTAACTTTACTGATGGAGAGACATAAATTATATATGAAATATTTTGAATAAATTATAGACTGATGTTCTTGAAAGAACAATAATAGATGTTAAGAAGCCCTGATTACTGACTGCAATGCACATTTAAATTTCTGAATAATTTGCAAGTAAGAAACTTAGGGACAGAAAACTGGTCCATGGCAGATAAAAGAAAATAAGTTCTCTTTGGCAATATTAAGAAAACTTTGATCAAAATGTAGCAAATAAACACACTGTGGTATAGTCATACAACAGAATATAATACAGCACTGAAAATAAATGAACTATGGGTATCAACAGCAACATGAACAACATACAAGCATAATATTGAGAGAAACAAAACAAGACCATAATGTCCATACATAAAACTTTCTAAAACAAACAGTAACTGATATTCTAGGGGTAAATATGCTTGCGTGCTCAGTTCATGCTCAGTTGTGTCCAACTCTTTGCAACCCCACGGACTGCAGCCCACCGGGCTCCTCTGTCCCTGGGATGTTCCAGGCAAGATACTGGAGTGGGCTGCCATTTCCTTCTCTAGGGGATCTTCCTGACCCAGGGATTGAACCTGTATCGCCTGCAATGATAGGCAGATTCTTTTACCACGGAGCCACCAGGGAAGCCCAGGGGTAAATACACAGGTGGCAAAATTAAAAAGAAAAGCAACAAAATAACTCTAAGTCAGGATATTCCTTCTGTTGAAAAGGGTTTTGTGACTGAGAAGGTAGGTGGTTTGCTGGCAATTTTCTATTTCCTGATCTGGCTGATATTTATACTGATATTAATTTTTCAGTATATTTCCAAAAAGAGCTTTTTTAAAAAATACATACAAAAGAACAATAGGACTTCAAATAGGACCAAGAAAAAAACAGGTTAAGAGGAATGTAAGCTAAAAAATAAAAGATTAGATACATTTATTATTATGTCCAAAGTATTACAGAGTCAGAGTGTTAAGATGTAAAACATGATCATTTAGGCTAAAGTAGCTAAAAAATGTCTGTATTTTTTGTTAAATTTTCTAAAGCGTCCATAACCACTCAAATAATTATAACCCCCTCACCCCCCAAAGTTTGGAAAGTTAAATTCCAATGTAGAAGAGACTTCAGGATGGAGAGGATCAGGGAGGAGTCCTCTAGACTTGGACCCACAGCAAGAAATATCCATTTTCCACTTACAGGCGTAAAGGGCTGTCAACTACCAAAATGAAATAACTGAATTATATGTCTTGGCCCAGGTGATGTGTATGAAGTCACCATCCAAGGTTAATTTGGATTGGCTCCCTCCACTCTGCATTCCAAATACGACATATAATTTTCAGAGTATGCAAATAACTAAAATACAGGAACACTTCCTTTAAGAGTCAAAAGAGGAAGCTGACTACTAAATGTGTATCATACTATGTGTGTGTGTATGCTCAGTCACTCAGTCATGTCCAACTCTTCGGGACCCCCATGGAGAACCATTGGATTCTCCATTCTCCATTGGATTCTTTACAACTTCGCCACCTGGGACAGCCCATGTTGTACTATAGAAAAGGGTTGAAAATCTTAAGCCTATAAATCAAAATATCAACTCTAGCCTTACATGTAAAATTTCTAATATTTGTTTCCTATGAATCCCAAAACAATCTTTAGCTTTTCATTATAATAAATGTCAAAAGTAAAAAATCCCAGACTGTTTGTTGAGGAGCATATCATAAAGTATTCTCTTTCCTGCCATCCAGCACTCTATCAGAATGTGCTTGAGAGTTATAATATATAACCTTCTGGACAACCTAGAGCTCTAGTTCACATTAATCATTTTTAATACCAGAAAAGACATATCTAGTCAACATTATTTACAGCTCCTGCAAAAGCAGAATAACAAATACACTACACAGAGACAAAGTTCTAATGCTTATAAAGAATTCCAGAACTCAAATAATACAGATCAAAATCTGTTAAAAAAGACACTATTCTTATATTTGTTCTCTTTCTAGTATAGAAGATAAGTTTCAGCAGTAAGAATCTAATCTTATAAAATTTTATAATGCTTTATGTCTGAAACTAAGAGTGGTATTAATTCTTAGGACTTTAATTGGTCAAAGATCTCACCTAGAACTAGAAATATATGAGGAATTTCTGAGAATCTTTTACATACCACTGTTGACTACCTCCAAGTGTCCCACTGTGTGTGAAAACAAAGATGAGGGGTTCCCCTCATGGTTACAGAGAATCAGTTTTGCCATGATGCCCCATGCTCCTAGCTATCAAGTCCTGTGGATCTTTACTTAGTCTGATGTAAGAAAGACCTGTGACGTTCTTCATCTCCAAGTCTGCCTTGGCTTTGACCCAGGTCCTCAAATCCTTAGGTATTTAAGGATGCGCAATCCCAAGTCACTCAAAGACGGAGACCCTCTTTTTTAAGAACAGCAGTCTAGACAGAAATTATATTCAGTCATCTATGTTTGCTGAACACCTGTTGTGTTCTAGAACGGGAATGGAATCAGCAAGCTGTGGGAAGAGACATGTGTCCTAGATGGCGAGTTAGAAAATGACCACTAAATTCCTAAGACATGATTTATGGTGAAAGGACAGAACTCCAAGTAGTTCTCATAATCTTGGTAATTAGCTAACAATCAGACAGTTGGAAAGACTCAGAATTTTGAGAAGGAAAAATTGCTCTGGGCACAAACAAAGTTTGACCTGACAGTATTGATTATGTTGAACAGAACCATCCAAAAATGAAAAGAACAAAGACATGTACTTCTCATTATAAAAATATTTTAAAGGAGAATGAATGGTTACTTTGCAGACTTCAAGTACTTTGCAGACTTTGGGAAAGGATTCTTGGACACACAGGTAAGTTAGACTGGGTCACCTCTAAGTCTCATCTAATTCTAAAATTCTAGATGATTTTATTGTGAAACCTCACTTAACAGAAAATGTGCCATTTAAAAAATAGTAAGATAAGAAAAATCTCGCCAATGAAATAATTTTAATGAACAAGCAAAACTTACAAAAGATTATACAGAAGAATAATTTGTGATTATTTCTATGAAACAATAATTAGTCTAGATGCATTTATCCTAATTTATTTTTAGTGAAAAATGATTTTTAACTAAGAGTATTTCAAATAAAGTACACCTATAGGGGAGACAAAACTAAAATTCCTTCTGAATAAAAAGTGATCTATTGTACTATTTGCTTCAAAGTAGAAATTCCATTAGCACTTTGCGAAAGTATGAAATAAAAAATCATAAAGACATCTTGACAGTTTTCCTTCATTTAACAGAGACATTCACTTTCTCAAAAATCAGAACATGATTTTCTGTAACCTAGCTACAAGGGATTCAACTGCTATAGATTTCTAACTGAAGACTCTACTCGATATGCCATCACCAGCGAGCAAGTCAGTGAGTGAAACAGTTGGGTAACAGAAGTTTTTACAAATATATACCAATTTGACACTACCACTGGGGTTGAATCTTGTCTCTATAAGTTCTCAAGACAGGTAATAAGGCAACAGTCAGGAATAGCTGAAATTACCCTTGAAAATCTCAAACAGAAGTACCTACAAGAGACTAGCACACATCAGTAAGTACAGCTTAGCTGGTTCTTCTAAATGTTGGACCAGATTTCTCCAACCCACCATCAGATGAAATTATTGGTTTGCATGCAGTTTTAAACACAAGAATCATATTTAGCACCAGACCACTCAGATTTCAAACATTCATTCTTATCTTTCCCCTCATCCATTCTAGGGCATAGAATTGAAGTTGTAAAAGGTAAGTAGATATGACATAATTCTGCTGTAACAATATCGGTTGCTATTGGTTGTAATAGCAGTAGTAGCAGCTATGGCAAAATCTGTCCATTAATTTGTCCAATAAAATCCAGCATTTCTTCCAAAGTAATAGATTTTAATTGTGTACATGGCCATCCAGAAAACAAAAGACTACATTTCTGACACTTCCCAGATTCTGTAAGAGCTTTTAGCTATTCTTAACCTATGTGGTGAGCAAGAGAGATTATATACAACTTGTAATTCACTGGTATAAATGCAAAGCTATTGCTCTGGACTTCCTTCCCTCCTCACTCCCTGCTGAGCAGGGCAAAGAAGCGGGTAGTGAACAGTCTTAACCATACAGAAGAACATGCTATGGCAGGCTGTGTGGAAGGAATCTAAGTCCTTGCATAGTATCAGGGAGCAGAGCTAACTTGGCAACCAGGACTTGAAGGTGAAGGTTTGCCTTATTCAAGCTATTCTGAATTCTCTTTGATAATGCAGTTTAGCCTACCCCCTAAAGCTTGTAAAGCAGAAAACATTTACTGCTTACTTTGCAAAGTCTATATTATCTCATCTAGTCATCACAATAACACTCTGTGGTAGGTGGTATTAACTTTTTTCCCCTTAACTGATGAAGGAAGCGAAATTTAGAGATGCCAAGTAGCCAAGTTCAAATTACTAGAAAGTGGGAAGGCCAATAGTGAAACCAAATGTCTGTCTCTAATATCTGAATAAACACTCTGCCTTCACCGGCTCTCCAAAGAAATTAGATTGATTAGATACTGGGAAGCATAACAGTTATAATGAGTTACCGATGTAGTAACTTAAGAATATCTTTGAACTCTTAAGGTTTTGGTAGAGAGATTCAGCCAAAAACATGTGACTTACAATCAAAAGATCATACACTATGAAAATTTATGACATTAAAGAAAATGAAGTATAGTGGCAACATGTGACATTTAAAAAAAATTATTTACCTCTAAATATTTGCTTTAGACTCAATAAGGAATCACAGGCCTTAAATGACGCACTAAATGAGATGGACTCAACTGACATTTCTTGAACATTCCATCCAAAAATAGCAGAATATACATTTTTCTTAAGAACACATGGAATATTCTCCAGGACTGATCACATGCTGGGCCACAAAGTTAGCTTCAGTAAATTTAAGAGAACTGAAATCGTATTAGGCATCTTTTCCAACCACAATACTATAAGAATAGAAATCAACTACAAGAAAAAAAAAACAACTGTAAAAAACACAAACATGTAGAGACCTAACAATATGCTAACTCAACAACAAATGGCTTATGGAAGAAATCAAAGAGCAAATCAAAAATACTGACAAATGAAAACAGCATGATGATCTAAAACCTATGAGATGCAGCAAAAGCAGTTTTAAGAGGGAAGTTTACAGCAGTACAATCTCACCCCAGGAAAGAAAAAAATCCGAAACAACCTAATGTTGCACCTAAAGCAGCTAGAGAAAGAAGAACAAAGAAAACCCAAATCAGTAGAAGGAAAGAAATCACAAAGATCAAAGCAAAAAATAAATGAAATAGAGATGAAGAAAACAATACATCAATGAAACTAAAAACTGGTTCTTTGAAAAGGTAAACAAAACTGATAAACCTTTAGCCAGTCTCATGAAGAAGAACGGGGGAGAGGATACAAACTACTAATATCAGAAATGAAAAAGAAGTTACAATGGACACCACAGAAATCAAAGCATCATAAGAGACTGCTATAAGCAATATATGACAATAAAATGGACAACCTGGAAGAAATGGACAAATTCTTAGAAAGGAACAATCTCCCAAAACTGAAACAGTAAGAAATAGAAAATACGAACTGACCAATCACAAGTAATGAAACAATGCCATCTGCAACAACATAGATGGACCTGGAAATTATCACACTAAGTGAAGTAAGTCAGACAAATATTGTATGATATTGCTTATATGCAGAATCTTAAAAAAAAAAAAAAGATACAAATGAACTTTTCCAGAAACACACTCACAAACTAGAAAACAAACATCGTTACTAAAGGGGAAAGTTGACGGGAAGGATAAACTGGGTGTTTGGGATTGACAGTTACACACTACCATATTTAAAACAGATAACCAACAAGGATCCACTGTATAGAACAGGGAACTCTGTTCAATATTCTGTAATAAATGGGAAAAAATCTGAAAAAGGATACATGTATATATAACAAATAAATAAGACAAACAAGAAATAAAAAATAAAATGCAATATAAAACTAACAATGTAAAAATTCTTTAGTCTGCATCTTCAGATTTATGCATTTTACTAAAGCACACCTCACTAAAGGAAAATAAATTCATGAGGAATATGGAAGAAACTGTTTTAGAATATAGTCCTTAAATAGATATTCTATTTCAAACACATTATTTCATTTCCTAGCATTTAAAGATGAAAAAACAAAAACTAATGTGCCTCTTATGTAATAGGGATATGTTTCTCATAATATTTGACCAAATCTGACTCACAAAATACATATCAATAGGATAGGCTACTTTGGTACGATCTCTTTCTCTGTTATATGTGTAACTTACCACAGGTAGCGTGAGCCAGGTTGCCACAATCCGGTTGTTGATCCAGCGATACCAAGATGGGCTTATAAACATTAAAGGTAAAAAGGGACCCAGCATGAAAATGCTTCCAAAAAAGCTTCCCCAAAACAGAGTGAGTATAAAGTATATCCCTCTCCATGACACCATGATTCTGAAAGACACACACAAAAAAATCAATATATTTTATTACTACAACTGCCCAAATTCAATTTCAGAATGATACATTTAATGATCTTTAATTATAGGGCTACATAATAGGCTCTGATAAAGAATATGAGTTTGAATGCCCTCTTACATGTCCTACAGGTATAACAAGTTGTCAGTACATTAGAAATGGATGCTCTCCAGAAAAACAGACCTATGGATCAATGAATAAAGAGCAGAAATAAACCCACACAGCTACAGCCAATTAATCTTCGACAGGAATTCCCTAGTGCTCCGGTGGTTAGAAATCTGTACCTCTATTGCAGGGGGCACGGGTTGGATTCCTGGTTGGAGAACTAAGATTCCGCATGCTATGTGGCAAGGCCAAAGGGGGAAACAAAAAAAAAAAGCCTTTGACAAAGGAGGCAAGGATATGTATAATGGAGAAAAGCTAGCCTCTTCACCAAGTGGTATTGTGAAAACTAGACAGCCACATGTTAATTGATGAATTTAGAACATACCCTCAACACCATACACAAAAATAAACTCAAAATGACTTACATATTAAGACACGACACCATAAAACTCTGAGAAGAGAACACAGGCAATGCATTCTATGACTTAGCAATGTTTTCTTAGGTCAATCAGTCTCCCATGGCAAAAGCAAAATTAAATAGGAACCAACCAAATTCACAAGTTTTTGCACCACAAAGGAAAGCATAAACAAAATGAAAAAACCTACAAATGGGAGAAAATATTTGCCAACAATGTGACTGACAAGGCCTTCATTACCAAAGTGTACAAACAGCTCATACAACTCAGTGACAAAATCACAACCCAATTTAAAAAATGGTCTGAAGACTTAAATAAACATTTCTCCAAAGAAGACATACAGATGCTCAAAAGGCACATGAAAAGATGCTCAACACTGCTAATTATTAGAGAAACACAAATCAAAACTACAGTGAGGTACCATCTCACACCAGTCAGAGTGGCCATCATCAAAAAGTCGACAAGTAACAAATGCTAGAGAGGGTATAGAGGAAAGGGAACCTTCCTACAGTGTTGGTGGGAATGTTAACTGGTGCAGGTATTATAGAAAACAATATGAAGCCCCCCTGCGCCCTTTTTTGTCAGGTCACACTGCTCAGTATATGGGATCTTAGTGTCCAACCAAAGATCGAACCTGTGTCCCCTGCGTTGCGAGCACAGAGTCTTAACCACTGGACCACCAAGGAAGTCCCTGGCGGTTCCTTAAAAAACAAAAGCACTACCATATGATCCAGCAATCCCACTCCTGGGCATATATGCATAATCCAAAAGGACACTATTAGTGGCTATTTGCAATAGCCAAGACATGGAAGCAACTTAAATGTCCACTGGTAGATAAAAGATGTGGTATATATACACAATGGACTACTACTCGGCTCTAAAAAGATGAAAAAGCCATTTGCAGCAACATGAATGCAATTAGAGATTCTAATACTAAGTAAATCAGAAAGAGAAAGACAGACACTGGTAGGCTATCACTTGTATATGGGATCTAAAACATGACACAAATGAACTTATGAAACAGAAACAGACTTAAGTCATAGGAAACTAACATGGTTACCAATGGGGAAAGGAGGTGAAGGAGGGAAACGGTAGGAGTTTGAGATTAGCAGTACAACAAGATAAACAACATCCAGCGGATCCTTGACCAACTGAGCTATTAGGGAAGACCAACTGTATACAGCACAGGGAATTATATTCTGTATCCTGTTTATACTCTGCATAAGCCATAATGGAAAAGACTATGGAAAAATGTCTCTGTGTGTATGTACACATGTATGTATATGTACAACTGAATCACTTTGCTGTTTAGCAGAAGCTAACACAACATAGTGTATCAACTATACTTTGATGAAAAAAGGAAACAGATACACTCAAAGAGTAAATGTCTGACCGCTCCTCCCCCAAAAAAGCTGTTTTAAAAGTCTTAGGTGATGAACATAGATGCAAAAATCCTTAACAAAATTCTAGCAAACAGAATCCAACAACATATTAAAAAAAAATCATACACCATGACCAAGTGGGCTTTATCCCAGGAATGCAAGGATTCTTTAATATCCGCAAATCAACCAATGTAATACACCACATTAACAAATTGAAAGATAAAAACCATATGATTATCTCAATAGATGCAGAAAAAGCCTTTGACAAAATTCAACATCCATTTATGATTAAAACTCTCCAGAAAGCAGGAATAGAAGGAACATACCTCAACATAATAAAAGCTATATATGACAAACCCACAGCAAGCATCACCCTCAATGGTGAAAAATTGAAAGCATTTCCCCTGAAATCAGGAACAAGACAAGGGTGCCCACTCTCACTACTACTATTCAACATAGTTTTGGAAGTGTTGGCCACAGCAATCAGGGCAGAAAAAGAAGTAAAAGGAATCCAGATAGGAAAAGAAGAAGTGAAACTCTCTTTGTTTGCAGATGACATGATCCTCTACATAGAAAACCCGAAAGACTCTACCAGAAAATTACTAGAGCTAATCAACGAATACAGTAAAGTTGCAGGATATAAAATTAACACACAGAAATCTCTTGCATTCCTATACACTAACAATGAGAAAACAGAAAGAGAAATTAAGGGAACAATACCATTCACCACTGCAACAAAAAGAACAAAATACTTAGGAGTATATCTACCTAAAGAAACAAAAGACCTATACATAGAAAACTATAAAACACTGATGAAAGAAATCAAAGAGGACACAAACAGATGAAGAAATATACCGTGTTCATGGATTGGAAGAATCAATATTGTCAAAATGGCTATACTACTCAAAGCAATCTATAGATTCAATGCAATCCCTATCAAACTACCAACGGTATTTTTCACAGAACTAGAACAAATAATTTCACAATTTGTATGGAAATACAAAAAACCTCAAATAGCCAAAGTAACCTTGAGAAAGAAGAATGGAACTGGAGGAATCAACCTGCCTGACTTCAGACTATACTACAAAGCCACAGTTATCAAGACAGTATGGTACTGGCACAAAGACAGAAATATAGATCAATGGAACAGAATAGAAAGCCCAGAGATAAATCCACGAACGTATGGACACCTTATCTTCGACAAAGGAGGCAAGGATATACAATGGAAAAAAGACAACCTCTTTAACAAGTGGTGCTGGGAAAACCACCTGTAAAAGAATGAAACTAGGACACTTTCTAACACCATACACAAAAATAAACTCAAAATGGATTAAAGATCTAAATGTAAGACCAGAAACTATAAAACTCCTAGAGGAGAACATGGGCAAAACACTCTCCGACATAAATCACAGCAGGATCCTCTATGACCCACATCCCAGAATTTTAGAAACTAAAGCAAAAATAAACAAATGGGACCTAATGAAACTTAAAAGCTTTTGCACAACAAAGGAAACTATAAGCAAGGTGAAAAGACAGCCCTCAGATTGGGAGAAAATAATAGCAAACGAAGCAACAGACAAAGGATTAATCTCAAAAATATACAAGCAACTCCTCCAGCTCAACTCCAGAAAAATAAATGACCCAATCAAAAAATGGGCCAAAGAACTAAACAGACATTTCTCCAAGGAAGACATACAGATGGCACAAAAACACATGAAAAGATGCTCAACATCACTCATTATCAGAGAAATGCAAATCAAAACCACAATGAGGTACCATTACACACCAGTCAGGATGGCTGCTATCCAAAAGTCTACAAGCAATAAATGCTGGAGAGGGTGTGGAGAAAAGGGAACCCTCTCACACTGTTGGTGGGAATGCAAATTAGTACAGCCACTATGGAAAACAGTGTGGAGATTTCTTAAAAAGCTGGAAATAGAACTGCCATATGACCCAGCAATCCCACTTCTGGGCATACACACCGAGGAAACCAGATCTGAAAGAGACACATGCACCCCAATGTTTATAAATGCACTGTTTATAATAGCCAGGACATGGAAGCAACCTAGATGCCCATCAGCAGACGAATGGATGAGGAAGCTGTGGTACATATACACCATGGAATATTACTTAGCCATTAAAAAGAATTCATTTGAATCAGTTCTAATGAGATGGATGAAACTGGAGCCCATTATACAGAGCGAAGTAAGCCAGAAAGATAAAGACCATTACAGTATACTAACACATATATATGGAATTTAGAAAGATGGTAACGATAACCCTATATGCAAAACAGAAAAAGAGACTCAGATGTATAGAACAGACTTTTAAACTCTGTGGGAGAAGGCGAGGGTGGGATGTTTCAAGAGAACAGCATCAATATACATCAGCATGTATATTATCTAGGGTGAAACAGATCACCAGCCCAGGTTGGGTGCATGAGACAAGTGCTCCGGCCTGGTGCACTGGGAAGACCCAGAGGGATCGGGTGGAGAGGGAGGTGGGAGGGGGGACCGGGATGGGGAATACATGTAAATCCATGGCTAATTCATTTCAATGTATGACAAAAACCACTGCAATGTTGTAAAGTAATTAGCCTCCAACTAATAAAAATAAATGGGGGAAAAAAAAAAAGTCTTGGGTGTTTTGTTTTTCCTGGCTATTAGTCTTAAAATAAAACTATATATTTTCTTTTCCAAGATGTTATCCAACACAAAATTGTAAAATATTCCATAGGTTTTTTTTTTTTGTTAATCTCTTACTATAAAAAGTAGACTAAATGGACTAAGAACTGCAGAACAGCTTCCTAAGGGTGACTATGCTTAAAAGTTATGGCAATTTTATAGAGTGCACTAAATTTTTTTTTAGTCTAGAAATATTAATTCTTTACATTAGAACCTAAAAGTAATATCTTTGGGCAATTGGTCTTTATGAGCTGAAAGGTTAAGCAGAAGTCAGATTCCTCAATCACTTGCCTCAATTATTTGCCAGAGGATTACTTTTTAGGGTCCTCATATCCAGATGAATATAATATTGATGTTTTAAAATGAAGTGTTGCAAGCACAGTCT